TACAAAAGTAGAGCCCCTCCCTATGAGTCCACCACTTGCTCCAACAACTGTCAACTCGCATGTGGTCAGTCTTGTTTCATTTATACCCTCTCACTCTCAGACACTGTATCATTTCCTAATGCTCTTTGCATAAAATTCTAAGTCCTTACACTGGCTCACGAGGTCCTACCTGATTTGGCCCTGACACCACAATGTTCTGACCTTATATTCTTGCGAAACATGCTTAGCCGCCGAGCCCTCCAGCTGGTCCATCCAATACATTAAGTTTGTTCCAGCCTTAGGGCCTGGATGTCCTGTTTCTGCTTCTTTCCCCGATGTGCTCACACGCTTGGTCACTAAATTCAGATCTGTCCTGAAAAAGGAAACCTCTGCAGAGACATCTCCTTTGACCACCAGTTATAAAGTAATTCCTGCTCCATCTCTTTCTTATCACCTAGTCCTAATATTACCCATGATCTTTCTTGTTGGGTTTTTTTTTTGTTTTGAATTGTGTTTGTATCTGGTGTCTCCTCTCCCCATAAACTCCTTGAAAGCAGAATCCTTGCTATCATGGGCACTGCTCTATCCCTCAAACAGTGCAGGCACATAGTAAGTACACACAAATACACTACTTGTTTTAATGAATAAATTAATCTTGGATTGGTTCCAGTTCCTCCAGGTACATGACGCTTAAGGTCTTGTATGTACCCTATCTCTCTGATATCATCATCTTTCTGGCAACCAAAATCAGAAAACTCAGGGTCACTTTGGTTTCTCTTTCTTCCTTATATTCCCATTCAACTCACAGGGATTCTACCTCTATTTTCCAACTCTACCACTCTCTGACCCTCACTGTGCTTTCCCTGAAGGGGCAGCATCCTCTCTCTGTCATCTGCCCCAGCTTTCTTCCTCCTTGAGCCACACTTCAAGTCACCCCCAAGAGAAAGTACATGAGAGTTTATAGGTGGGGAAGGCTCGAGTACAAACAAGTGAAATAATTAGTCTAGGTAATTCTCTAATACCTTCTGTTCTGTTCTCTTCTCTTTCCTTCCTTTAAGTTATAGATGTGCTCAACTAAGTTTATTAATTTTATAAACTTGAAAATAATAAAATTTGTATTTTATGAAATTTATAAGCTCAAAAATAATAAAGGATTATCTAGAACCTCAAGGATATTAGGCTAAGTAAAATAAGTCAGCTCCCAAAGGACAAATACTATACAATTTCTCTTACATGAGGTGTACAGACTAGTCAGATGCATAGTCAGAAAGGTTGCCAGGGGCTGGGAAAAGGGGAGAATGGGAAGTTACTGTTTAATGGAAATGGAGTTTCAGTTTTGCAAGACAAAAAGAGTTCTGGAATTGGTGATTTTAATAATAGGGCAGCAATGTGAACACACCTAATGCCACTAAACTATACACTTAAAATGGTTAAGATAGGAAAATTTTATGTTCTGTGTATTTTACCACAATTAAAAAATAATAATTAAGGACTGGCTAGATTTTATCCAAAAAGTTGGAAATCTTCTGTTTCAGACTCATGACTTAAAGTGTCACTTTACATTTGTATTATGGTTCACACTTTCATATGGATAGCATGTCATTTGAACCTAAAGACAACTCTGAGAAGTAAGAAGCATAGTTGCGGTCATTATCCCCAACTTTAACTTTGGAGAACTTGAGACTCATTTGGATTAAGAGACATGTCCATGGTCTCATACCCGGTAAGTGATGCCAGAACTTAAATTAATGAAAGTGTAATGTTTTCCTAGGTATGGCTTTCAACTTTTATTTTAGCACATACATTAGAAAATTTAGAACAGTATTGGGCTGGCAGCCTGAGAAGTAACTTGCCATTTTTACTTTCCAGGAGCAGTGAGGCAACCCCATGAAGTCTGCTCTTCCTAGAAATGTGTGATGGCTAGCGTCATCTGAATTTGCCTAACCACAATGTGGAAGTTACCCGTCCCAGTGTGGAGAGGATGTGCTTAAGATTGGGAGGCTATTTCAATGGAGGATATTCTATGACTTGAGTAAGACTTCTGTAAGTTTAACCATGAAGACTGAGAAAAGCATATGCTGTGTGATTCACCACCTTCCTTTGTAAAACCTGGGTGGAATGAGAAGGAGTTTTTCTCTCTGTTTGAGGTCAGCTGAACTTGTGGTATTTCCCTCGCTTAGGGGAGAAAGAATGCTTTCAAATGGCACCTCCCTATTTGTGGATGGAATATGTACTATGGGATAATAGTAGGAGTGGGTGGGAAATGGAATTGAAGCAAGACTGGCCATGAGTGATAATTACTAAAGTGGATTGATGGGTACGTTGAGATTCACCATACTTATTCTCTCTATATAAATTTTAAAGTAGCAATTCTCTAAGGGTTTCCTACTCTCTGGAAATAAAAATTCAGGAAATGCAATGTACTAAATCCTTTTTTTGAAAGCCACAGGACGTATTAGAATATTAAAGAATGTGAGGGGTCCTGCATTTAAGAGACCTTTAAACACAGTTTAAACCATGTTCAATTCCTAAAACTGATTTGCTATTGAAACTCATTTTACCAAGCAACATCTATTAATGACTCATCCAACTAGCATTCTGTGGGAAATACCTTGATGAACCTGTTTAACAGAGCATGTGGGGACTCTGTGTATAAGACAGAATGAGAACCAAGGACAGTTTTCTGCTTTTTCTGCCAAGAACAGCTTTTCAGCATCAGGGGAGATTTATTTATTTTGGATCACAGAGGAAAAGCAAGAAAACCACTTGCTGATTATGAGTCAGGCTAACACACCAAACCTCCAAGGGGAGCTCTGGGCTCCATGTGCTGGGCTTCACACACACAACAGTGGTTAAGGGCATGGCCTCTGGAATCACACAGCCTGGACCCAAATCTTGGCTCTGTGACCACAGGCAAGTTGCTTAACCTCTTTGGGTCTTTTTTTTTTTTTCACCTATAAAATAGGGATAATAAAGTTTTTACAAGAACCTTATAGGGTGGTTGCCAGTTAGCAAACAAAAAGACAGGATGCCCAAATATTACACACGTACACTAAAAATTATTTGTTGTTTATCTGAAATTGAAATTTAACTGGGAATTTTGTGTTCTCCTGGCAATACTACTTTATAGGATTGTTGGGAGGATTATGTGATGTAGTCTACATTGAACTCTCAAAACAGTGCCTGGCACTTTGTAAGCACTCAATAAACTACTGGCTATTGTTGTTAATATTACCACTGTAGTCCAAGGCACCTTTCTTTTATTCTGATTCTCCTGATAATTTTCTAAAGATTTCCCTGGGTATATAATCGAATCATTTATAACAGAGTATTTGCTATAATCAATAGAAAGAAGAAAGGGATATCTTCTAACTTAGTCCTTGGATAGAAGTTGTTTTGTAAGGACCAAGACAAGTGTATTAAGTTGCCCTTCATCTACCATTAATGGAAGGAAGCTGTGGTAGGAAAAATTTTTAACATTGGCATTGTGTGATAATTGCTAATTTTTCTTAGCTCCAAGTGAACTACCTTTGTAAGGTTTTTCTTAGGGAAGGATTAACTTGGACTCCATAAACAGCTGTTAACCAAGAGTGGAGAGGAAGAAAGGAAACCCACAAGAGTTTGGTGGTCAAAGGAATTAGCCTGGGCTGGGCTAGAGCGTGGGGAAGAGACTCCAATACATGCAATTAACGGAGAGTTTACTATAATAGCTCAAAGAGGATTCCTACTCAACCGGCTTGTCTTAGGTTTACACTGTTGGCAGGGGAATTTCAGCAGAGTCTCTGCAGTTGCTTAATGCATACATTGGCAAGGAACCCATGCCTAACTTACCAAGGACTAGAAGTCTAACTTGCCTAGATTTCCCTATATAACTAAAAGTCTGACTTCCCAGGGAAGGTACACAATATTATAGAGCTTTTTCAGCACAGAAGTCTGACAACTTGTGAATCATTTGTAAATAAATCGATGATATATTTCTCTGGTTCTTTCTCATTGTTGACTCATGACCTAGTAAAGATTTACTGGGCTAAGAATTATGATTTGCATAAACACATGGTTATGAAACTTTTTTGTGGAAGGAAAAGAAGTCCTGACTACACTAAGCTGACAAAATAGGAACTTCATGTTTAATTTTTAAGTAAATTATAAAAATAGAATTATTACAAAGGAAATTATGAGCACTCTTAGAAAGAAAATATACTTATTTACTAGCATACTTTCATGATCAAATAAAAAAATAAATGTGAGGCAGAGAAAGAGATCAAGAGAGCCTATGAAAGACAAGAAAAGGGTCAGAGGCAGAGAGAGACAATAAGTGAAACAGATAAAGGAGAAATAGAGATACAGAGAAAATTAAAGGCACAGAGAGAAACCAAGAGATATGTAAAGCTGTAAATCTCCTTTACTTTGCAAACTCTACTTTTAAAACCATGCCAACAGTATAAGTTCTTCTGACATCATGCATTAGGTAGCCCCCCACTGGTTTTTTATAACTGTCACACGTATGGGTGGGGAAAAACATGATTTTTAATGGTCAACCAAATCTATGTATCAGGAAGTCATCTTAGAACAGTTGAGTTTAGTTTCACTTTTATGCTTCAAACACTGTTTACAAATACACTTTTCAATTTCTTGATAACAGACGGGTTACTTAATTCTGAAATGACTGTGTTTTGGTTTGCAAACAAATAATTGTTAAACTGCATGAAGCTCCTGGTACTAAACAGCACCAGCTAAGGCTTCTCCTGGACTGGGCAGCTGTCAAAAGGAATCTGCGTTCAAGGCAGTGGTAAAGGAAGTGGATAAATAAACAACACCGGCAGAGGCAAAAATAACCAAACTAAACACCTTTGTGTCAGGACACGTTAAATCTTCACTACGAGGAACTTGTGAAACTTGATTACTCACTCTCTGAGTTTGGTCTTCCCGAGACAACACAAGGGTAAAATGAAGAGGCATTTAGTTTTCAGACCCTGCTGGTCACAGTTTTAAGAGAAAAGCAATGTGAAAATTCCACTCACCAGTGCCACAAACTTGAGCTCCTTAGGGGCCACACCTCGGTCCAGCCAGAAGGAGAGCAGAAGCAGAAGGCAGAGGTGAAGGCTTGCCACCCGGGCCACGAGGAGCGGGGCGCCTCTCATGCTGGGGAGCACAGTTTCTAGCAGGACACAGAAGGTGCTGCTTCCCCTGCCAAAGCCATTAGAGGGGAAGCTATTTAATCAAGGATTAAAAGAGAAGGAAGAACTGGGAGGAGCCAGGCTCCTAAATCGTAAAATCTCCAGGTAGCTGGGGGCGGGGTTTGGTACAATCAGGTAATTTTTGAGCCAGTTGTTAGAGATCACAGGCTTCTGGATTTACAGGTAAATTAGCACACTGAGACCGGAGAGGGGAAAGCTGTTGCTTCAGGTCACAGAACATATTAGCTGACATTTCTTTTTGAGTTTACTTTTAGCTTTACTTTAGATGGGGTGTGATACAGCATTTGTTTTTTAGCTGTCACTTAGGAAAAGGATTTACCCCGACTTTGGAAACTTTAGGCCAGTTATGATTAATCTTTCGGGAATCCAGAATGATAAGGAGTGAACTGTGGGAGAAACTGCAGGTACTGGCATATTTTGGGTTTATTACCCAGGCTAAACATGACTCCTTTTTCAAAAACTCCCAAGTAGCCTATAGAGGTATTTTTAAATTAAAAAAAGAGCAATTTTATCTTGAAAATTTTTAATCACATGTTACAATATTTGGGGCTCATCGGTGGTATCTCAAAATGAAGGTTAAAAATGCCTTTCCGAACCTGACACAGTACAAAAAACAACAAACTCACCAACCTTGGTCACAACGCTTCTGTTCTGGGTGAGTCACACCCTTGCTTCTCCAGCTATGATCTCATCGGAAATAATAGGAAAGACGCTAATCCACACTAAGGAAATTTAGCTTTGTATTTGCCTCATTCTGTCAGCCCCAGTCAGAGGATGAAGCAGGGTTTTTGTGCAGAGCTCTCGCCCTGATGCTTCCACCCCAGCAGAAGGAGAACAACGCTCTTCCCTACCACCTGTTCTCTGGTGCACTGCGCCCACCTGTGTTAGGAGGGCGCTCCTGTGTGATCATACGGTGCCCTAGAATGCGGTGTGTGTGGGAGAGCTATTGATTCTTCCTGTATGAGAAAATACATGTGAAGCACGAATGCATGTGCGATTAGGGTTAGATCTTTAAGCAGACCTCTGACCCTCTCTTTGCTATGACATTCTCCACCTGCCAGTCTCCACTGTCATCTTTAATGTGTGAGATTTTGAGGAGACGGGTACATAGAAAAGGGATTGTCCAGGGCAGAGATGAAATTGCCACACTGATCCCTGCTGTGCGTGCCAAGCTACCTGAGAGAAGGAGCTCCAGCACCTGTTTACCATTCACAGGCTTAGTTCTGAACCATGTGCCTTAAATTGTGCCAGTTACTCGACTCTGTTCAATGTCTTATTTTCTCAAGGATCAGCCTGGCTCCTTGTTCTTTGATTTTCTTCCTTGTCTCACCCTTAGATTGATGTCTGATACTATTCTGACTACAGCTTTAGTGCTTTCTGGTACTCTGGTTCTGTAACCTACCTGTGGCGTGTTACGTATTAGGTTGGAGAAGCCCTACTTCTGACTCAGATCCTACTTCCTCTGTGTTACCTCCTCTGAGCTCCCTTTAACTCTTCAAGTAAGAACAACGACAACCATGATAATTCTTTTTTTTTTTAAAGATTTTATTTATTTATTTTCAGAGAGAGGAGAAGGGAGAGAGAAAGGAAGGGAGAGAAACATTGATGTGCAAGAGAAACATCAATGGTTGCTTCTCCCACACCCCCAGCTAGGGACCTGGCCTGCAAATCAGGCAAGTGCCCTGACAGGAAACTGAACCAGCAACCCTTCAGTTTGCAGGCTAGTGCTCAATCCACTGAGTCACACCAGTCTGGGCTTTAAAAAAAAAATTATGTACTTATTTTCAGAGAGAGGAGAAGGGAGGGAGAAAGAGAGGGAGCCATGACAACAATTTCTTATAGAGAGAATCAGAAAAAAAAAACTGCTTGGGGGGAAGTATTCAGGGTAAGAAGTGAGCGTGGGGTGGGGAAAAGTGGTGGCAGGAAAATAGAGACAACTGTACTTGAACAACAATAATAAAAAAAAACAACAACCCTGCTTGAAAAACCTGCTTGATTGTACACATCTCAATTCAAACTTAATTCAAGTTGGAATAAGTGGGTGGTTTATGCTCCTCAGTCACTATTCAAACTCCTACTTTGATCATGAGATTATAAGGGGAGGAGAAGTTCATAAATGTAAATCTGCCCACCATGAAGTAGGGTTTGAAGATCCTCAACTCAGATAAAACCTATTTTAGAATCTTTGGCCTCTCGAATCTTAAACTAACAAGGGCTTTGTAAAGACTTAAAGAGTCATCTGGAATAGACATATGGGTATGGCAGTATTGTATGACTTGAAAAAATATTGAGATGTCTTTATAGACATTCCAATGAAGATTGTCAATCATTTTATTATCGGTGATTAGCAAAACTTACTGGCTGAATCACCTTTATTTCCTTGTGATATTTCTTTCATCATATGTTAAGTGTTCAAGCTGTAATTAGCACAGTGTTGGGTAGTTCCATAAATGAAGTAGGTTGTGTTCGTCAGAAAGCAAATTCCTGGATGGAGATTTGCCTTTAGGAAATGTATTAGGCAGTGCTCTCAGGATCAGCAACAGTAAGGGGAAGATAAGTAAGCAGGATCGAGAAGAAGGAGAAGGCTTTAGCTGATCCTCCTAGGAGTTCTAAAGCTGGGATAGCCTTCTGAGTTGTAGTGAGTTGGGGTGAAAGCATAAAGCCTTTTGCCCCCGTATTAGCCAGTCATTGGATGCAGGCTGCTCCTGGAAGGGAATTAGACCATGGGTAAGATGGGTCCCTTCTGCCATGGCAGTTCTCAGAGGAGCTGACAGCTGAGTGATAGCAGACGACAAATTCCCAGTAGCTGGAGGGCATTAATCCTTCAGCTCATGGAGGGAGACTAGGGTGGCATAACACAGAATCAGGACAATGAACAAATATTTATAAGGAAAATTTCATTTTGGTAGACCTAGGGCTATAAAGTACCAAGTATGGCTCTGATAGCAAGAGACTGGGTTGGAACTGAAATCCTTTCATAGGTTCATTGGTTGTTCACCAGGTAGAATGCCTATATTTAAATTCTCTGACTTGCCACATCTTCACAATTGTATTATTTAGCTTTCAGTGCCGCATGGACTTCGGACACTCAATAATATTAATTGAGCTCCGACTGGTGTGGCTCAGTGGGTTGGGAATTGTACTGGAAATCAAAGGGTTGCCAGTTTGATTCCTGGTCGGGGCACGTGCCTGGGTTCCAGGGTAGGCTGTCGTTCAGGGTGTGCGGGAGGCAGGCAGTTTCTCTTGCTCTCTTTCTCCCTCCCTTCACCTCTCTCTAAAATAATAAATAAATCAGTATTGATCGATTAGTCAATATAAAGACAAATTATTGCATCAGAGCCTTGTTACAGTGTTAGCTGCTTTAAGGCAAATCTAAGAAGAGTTTAGAATAAAAGTTCTTCTCCCCTCAACCAGTCATTTTGTGTGTGTGTCGTGTGTGTGTATTTCTATTTGCCCTTGCCATAAAATGGCTATTATTTAAATTTAGGCACACATCCCCCTATATCACCAGTAATTACGTCATTGGAATATTATCAAGGAAGGCTATAACTGAGATCATCTTTCGACTACCTCTCTAATTATGACACATGTAAGAATCCCCTGGGAAGCTTAATAAAATACAGATTCCTGGGCCTCACTCCCAGAAACTCTACTTCAGGAAGTCCAGCTAAGATCAGTAACAGTACGCTGCCAAACCTTATTTGAGCAGGAAATGAAAGAAAAAAATCAGTAATGATCCTGTCTTCATTTAAAATTTTGATATTTAAAAAAATCATAGATTGTTTACACTAATTTTTATTTTTTTATATATCATCTAAAATATTATTTCTCTTGATTAAAGTTTTTTGGCACCCCTTCAAATTATATGCCCAAGGTGAGTGCCTCACTCTCCTCATCCTTGTTCCCAGATGTGACTCTAAGAATTGGAAGATGGGAAAGAACAATTTTTTTTCTTTTGAGATTAGATTATTTAACTTTGGTTCTGTCCATAAGGAAATGAATGCTTGGGGTGAGATGAGGCCATTACACTGAGGCACTGAGAACTGAAAGAGCCCAGTCTTTTTGTCTGTTAGCCTGAATGAAGCTGACCTCCAGCTGCTCGCTGGACTGTAATTCCCTGCAAGGGCTGGCCTCCCTCATAAACCTCTCCTGCAACAAGGATGCTTTACTCACATTCAGATCTAAATAACCTGCATGAACGGAGGTGACAGTGACTCATAGGTCTGGAGAACAGGATAGGGTCCAGTCTTTCCGAAACTGTCACTCAAGACTAGGTCTCCATTGTTCAGGTGCTGGCAGGAAAGAGAGGGCACACGTGTTTTGTCACAGTCTACTTTGCATGCCATTCCAAGGTCCTGATTCCTGGAAAAACTGGGAAATATCCTATTGCTCTCACCTTTCCTGTAGGCTTGCAGAGGGAGCACCACATTGAGTCGATTGTATTTCAAACGTTAAGGACAGAACTCAAAACTTACAACAATATTATCCTATCTCATCTTGTTAAATATGTATTCAAGGAAAGACCGGTGGACATGCATAACATTTTTGATGGGTTTTTTTCTGTGTGATGTATAAGTGGTTTCATTTTCTTCTTTCTGCTTTTCTCCACTTTCCAAATTCCTTGCAGTGAACAGATATTTTTATTAAGATCAGAAAAGAAATTTTAAAATGTCTAATATTAACTATATGTTATTTCTCACTTGATTCTTGGGTATCCTCACAGTTGTAGAAGGCAGGCCTGAAAGGTAATTCAGAGTCTGGGACTTGAACCTGCAACCCTTGGTTCACAGGCCAGTATTTAATCCACTGAGCCACGCCAGCCAGGCTGTCTATTTCTATTACATGTCCAATTCCTAAGCTATTAAAGAGAAAATATTCTTTCTCTTGCCTCAATTTCTCCCCCTGCCCCTTCCTTCCTTTTTGTCATGTCTTATCTTAAAGAGATCCCACAATTTCTTGTAGTATCATGAAAGCCCAAGAGCAACACAATGTCCACTTATGGTCTTCG